GAGCCGGTGGCGCAAGGCCCAGAACTGTCGGAGGACCGCGAGCCGGTGGTGCCAGAGCCCAAGGCGTGGCCCAGCGATGGGACCCTGGGGGAGAGCTTCCAATCCGAGAAGATCCCGAGCCCGGAGAAGGAGGTCCCGAGCCTGGAGAAGCCGCTTCCACCCCAGAGGAGCGCAGCCGAAAGTCACGAGAAAGTGCCCAGCAGCCGGGAAAAGCGTGAGTCGAGGCGGCAGAGGGGGCTGGAGCACGTTAAGCTCCAGAACAAACACATCCAGTCCTACAAGGAAGAGCACACCCTCCGAGAACCTTCCGGGAGGGCTGCCCCAGAGCACGAGGAGAGCCACCCAGAAAACAGAAAGGAGAGCAGAGAAGATGAAACCCCTCCAGAAGCAGGGACGGAGACTGAGATCGCTTCTCCTAAAAAGCAGCCCACAGGGCCCGCACAAGCCATGCCAGGCAGCCAGGTCTTGGAGGAAGCCCAGAGCGGGAGCCCCGGGCCCGGCCACCTGGAACGGCCCACCAGCCTGGCTCTGGACAGCAGGGTCGGCATGCTGGTCCCCAGTGCCACCCCAGAGACTCCCAAGGACAAAGGCAAGCTGGGGGTCAGCCCGAGAGCCCAGGACAGGCCCGAGAGCCCTGGAGGTGCCACCCAGATCCAGCGGTACCGAGACTCAGATGCCGAGCGGCTGGCCACCGCTGTGGAGCTGTGGCGGGGCAAGAAACTGATGACCGCTGGCCCTAGCGCCATGTTGAGCCAGTCCCTGGACCTCAGTGAGCGGCACCGGGCCATCAGGCCTGCCCTCACGCCCACAGAGTAAGCCCCGCACGTGCCTTTGTCTGAGGGCTGGGGTGGGCGGACAGGTTGCAGTGATGCACAGCCAAAGACTGGCAACAGGACCAGGGCAGCACCGTGCATCCCCTAAGCACCTAAGTAGCTCGGTGCCTGAGAGCTGACCACAGGTGTGCGGGAGCCCCAAAGAAGGAAGACAGGAGGTGGGGTAGGGGGAGGTTTTGGGGAAGGTAAGGCCAAAACAAGCCCTGTTCACACAGAAAGCCTCCAGCCTGGTGGGAGGTGGGCCCTCAGGTTGAGACCCTCCCCTCCCCAGCCTGCCTGGGCCTCAGTTTCCTCATCAGAAAGTTGGGGTGACAGCACTCACCCAGAGGTTGAAGTAGCAGCTCTCGACACACTTTGCCTAAGTCCTAGTTAGCTAAATATCAGTGACTCTGAATCTCTAGCCCCTTGTCTGTCCCAGGGGCCTGCTTGTCCAAAGGAAAGAAGAATTGGAGAAGATGCAGGCCTTCTGCTAGGGCAGGCTTTCTCAGCCTCAGCACGGCAGACCCGTGGGGCCGGCTTGTCCTCTGTGGTGGAGGCCGTCCTGGGCTCTGTGGGGTGCAGAGCAGCATCCCTGATTTCCTCCCACCAGATGCCCATTGCACCTCCCTCCCCCAAGTGCAGTCCCGACAACCCAAAATGTCTCCTACCACCCTCATCAGTAAAAGCCACATTTCTGTGATCTCGCAGGGAGAGGCGCATTTCCTTATCCACGAGCGACGTCTCCAAGCTCCTCCAGTCCCCATCCCAGACCAAGACTCAGGTAAACGTTCAGGCTGCAGCGCTCACCCCTGAAGGTCCAAGTCCACTTCCGCCTCCACTGCCCTGGTGCCACCAGAAGGGAACAGTGGATAGAGTACACAGTGGCACCAGGACCCCCGCTTTCCCTCTAGTGAGGCCACCTGCCCTTGCTCACCCAGCCCTGCTCTCCTACTCCTACAGCCTTCAGCCGAAACCGTGGACGGGGAGCCTGGCACCAAGAAGCCGACCATCCAGAAAAAGAAGTCAGGCGATGCATCCTCCGGCCCAGATGCAGGGCTGTCCCCAGTCTCTGCTGACTCCAAGTAGGTGTGGGCTTTGCGGTTGGGCTTGGGCCTCCAGAGGACACCTAGGGTGTCCAGGTCCTCCAGTCCCAGAACAGTCTGATCTCCTAAGCCAATGGCATTTACCAAGCTCAGTCGGGCAGGCATTTGCTTAACAGTTCCGTGAAGAGAAACCCAGAGCCCGGGCTGTGGCCGCATCAGGGTGAAATGATTCCCACTGAAGCCTCGAGTCAGCCTGGGCCACCTCCTCTCAGTCCACAGACCTGGGAACCCCTCCTGGGTCCTTACGTAGCAAAATCTGTGCCAAGGCTCTGTCCCCAGAAAGCCCCTGCCAAAGTGCTCTGGACTGTTCACAGAGCAGAGAGGTGAGGCCGTGGGACAGGGGAGCTGTGACTCAAACATGGGACAGCAGCCTGAGGAAGGTGATGAACAGGCTGTGGTGAGAGGCAAACGAGGTAGCTTCAAACAATATGGATTGACTCTCACAGTTCTGGAGGCCAGCGGTGTGAGATCAAGGTATAGGCAGGGCCGTGTCTCCCTCTAGAGGTTCTTGGAGGCTCCAGGTGTTCCTTGGCATGTGGCCACATCCTCCCAGTCTCAGCCTCTGTCTTCACATGGCGTTCTTCTCTCCTCTGTGTCTTCTCTTTTTCTGTCTCTTATAAAGACACTTGTCATTGGATTTAGAGCCCATCCAGGATGATTGAGAATCTTGAGATCCTTCACTCAGTGTGTTAGTCCATTCAAGCTGCTGTAACACAATAGCACCGACTGAACTAGAGGCTGGAAGTCCAAGATCAAGGCACCGACAGATGAGGTGTCTGGTTCATAGACACCTTCTTGCTGTGTCCTCACATGGTGGAAGGGGCGAGAGAACCCTCTGGGGTCTCTTTTTATAAGGGCACCAATCCCATCCCTGGGGGCTCCACCCTCATGACCTAATCACCTCCCCAAAGCCCCACATCCTGATACCATCACGCTGGGGGTTAGGCTTCAGCATACCAATTTGGGGCAGACACACACATTCAGTCCATATCATTTAGGCATATCTCCAAAGACCCTTTTCCCAAATAAGATCACGCTCATAGGCCCTGAGGCTCAAAACAGACATCTCTTCTGGGGGACCACCATGCACCCCACTACATACCCAGTATCCACAGCACACAATTTGGTGTTTATTCTTCCTGGGTTTTTTCCCCTAACCTTGTGCCCATAAAAACATCTCGCGGGGAGCGGGGTGGCGGGTATAGCTTAGTGGTAGAGCACATGCTTAATGTGCATGAAGTCCTGGGTTCAATCCCCAGTTCCTCTGTTAAGGGGAGGAAAACTTGGGGGGGGCAGGGAGTAATTTTTTTAGATATATGAGAATGGGGTTCTGCCTGACATCTGCCCAGCCTCTTGCCCTTTCATGTGACTCCAGCTCCACCTTATTTGCAGTAGCACCCCATCCCGATAACCAACAAAGGGGCCATTTCTCTTTACAGTAAGTTGACCCTTCCTTTGGCCTCACGTCTGCTTTCATTTCCTGAGGCTTAAGGCTTACTTTCTCCTACAGATCCACATTTAAGAGACTTTTCCTGCATAAGAACAAGGATAAGAAATACAGCCTGGAGGGCGCAGAGGAGATGGAGAACACAGCACCTGCGCACGTCGTGCTGGAAGCCGCCACCATGAAGAAGAACCTAGAAGGTGGGTCGCCCGCAGCCTCAGGGACAGACAGCAGAGCCACCGGGGTCCTTGAGGACCATCCCCAGATGCAGCCTTGAGTCAGTAGCTGTGGGCCCAGCCCCAGTCACAGGCTTCAGGGCTGGTCCCCACCCCCAGAGGTACTTTCTGGCCACTGATCTCTATGTGTGGCGGGGCCCAGCCCACGCCCCAGAGGCCAACCCACATCCTCCCCAGGAACCAGCTCTTACCAGCCTCTCCTTCCCCTCAACAGCCCCCTCCGGCTACCAGCACCGCCACACCTTGGGCGAGAAGCACACCAAGGAGCCAGGAGGCAAAGGGAAGAAGAACCGAAACCTCAAGATCGGTAAAATCACAGTGTCAGAGAAGTGGCGGGAGTCGGTGTTCCGCCAGATCACCAACGCCAACGAGCTCAAGTACCTCGACGAGTTCCTGCTCAACAAGGTGGGCCGCCTGGGCTGGGCCTGGGTGCTGGGGGGCAGGGCTCAGGCAGAGCAGCCCCGAGGCCCTCCCAGAGGGCCATCACCACCTGGCAGGGCTTTCCCAACCGTCACACCAAAATCCTTACCTGGCGGGAACAGAAAGTCCAGGTCCACAGTTGGCACATGTGGCAAGTTCTGGAAATGAGATGCTGATTCCTAAGTTTGGCATCAGCTGGCTTTCTGCAAAACCCAGCCAGGGCTCATGATCACTTGTAGCCGACATTCATCTTGCTTGGTGAGGATACTTCTATTTCACTCCAGAATGTGTGTCTCATCACGGGGGCTGCACAGAACATGTGAGACTGTCCCAGCCGAAGTTGGGACTCGCCCCATCGGACTTGTCTAGCGCATGCCAGCAAGTCACACGTGGGTTGGGCGCCCAGCAGACGCATTTTTAAAGGTTTTTTCTTTATTTATTTTAACTTTTTTTATTGTTCTTTTTTTTTTTTTGAATGGAAGTACACTAGGGATGGGGATTGAACCCAGGACCTCGTGCATGCTAAGCACACACTCTACCACTGAGCTACACTCTCCTTGCAGCAGATGCATTTTATCCAGCGGTTCCTTCCCAGGAAGTTTGAGCTGTGCTGTTGAATGCACTCAGTGTGCCATCTCTCAGCACCCTGGGCGGCTGCTCACTTTCTCCACATGAGGAAATACTGGCATCCAGAATAACCCTCCCAGCAGGGCGCCGGACACACCCACCTGCCCCCAGGCTGCCCCTAGGTCCTATGGCCTTCCCTTGTCCTGCCCCTCAGCCATGGCTGACCCGAAACAAATTCTTTTATTTAGAATACACTTTTACAGGATACGTTCTGTTCAAGGCAGTGATGGAGCACTTAACTGCAGCTGTGGCCTGCACTCGGGGTATTCTCAGTCCAGGCGGCAGGCAGTCCCACAGCAAACAGAGCGGCATTTGAGAGCTTCAGAGGGGGACAGTGGCAGGCTGACAGGGACAGTAAGGGTTAGGACACCCTTCAGAGGGTAGAAATGTGACGAAATGATCAGGCCATTTAAGGCAGCCCCAGTCCTGGGGTGCAGCCGGGTGTCGAGCATCTGTGAGGGACAGCAGGAAGAGCCCCAGTTAAACCAGTGGTTCTCAACGATGGGTGAGCCTGCCCCCAGGGGACACTTGGCAACATCTGCAGACTTTTTGGAGCGCCACCAGCATCTGGTGGGTGGAGGTCGGGGTGCTGCTTAGCACCCGCAGTAAGTGACGCAGAGAGACCAGGGTTGGCAAGGGAGCCCAAATGTTTCCCTGCAGGCCCAGGACAGCCAGGGAGGGACTCGGGACAGGGCAGAGCGGTGACCACCCAGATGCCCAGCCCAAGGCAATATGGGGTCAGTGCCTCTCCCTCCCTCTCCAGATAAACGACCTGCGTTCCCAGAAGTCTGCCATCGAGAGCTTGTTCATCGAAGCCACCGAGAAGTTCAGGAGCAACCTCAAGACCATGTACTCCGTCCCCGTACGTGGAGCCCCCAGCCACAGGGAGGGTCTCCACAGCGACCCCCATGCCCTCCCCTGGGCACCTCCCCCCTGCTTCTGTCTGTCCCTTGGGGGTCACACCCTGCCTTCCCACAGAATGGGAAGATCCATGTCGGCTACAAGGACCTGATGGAGAACTACCAGATCGTCGTGAGCAACCTGGCGGCTGAGCGCGGTGAGAAGGACCCCAACCTGGTCCTCAACCTCTTCCAGTCGCTGCTAGACGAGTTCACCCGCGGGCACACCAAGAACGACTTCGAGCCTCCCAAGGTAGGTGTTGCCACTCCGGGCAAGGGTCCCAGCACCAGGGCGTTGCCGGGGTGGGGGCGTTCCTGGGGGCCCACACAGACCTGGCGTTTTTGCTCCCTCACAGCAGAGCAAAGCGCAGAAGAAGAAACGAAAGCAGGAACGCGCTGTGAGTATGTGTGTGCACATGTGCGTGCACACAGGTATGAGCATGTGCGTGTGTGCGTGTGCACGTGCATGTGGGTGAGCGTGTTTTCCTGCCCAGCCTGTCATGAGTGAGTGGCCCCTGGTCCTGAGATGCCGCAGGCCCTGAGCGGCCCCTGGGCCACCCCATTGGGGGTCCACCTTCCCCACTTGGCTCCCTCCTCCGCTGCTCCAGGTCCAGCAGCACAACGGGCATGTGTTCGCCAGCTACCAGGTGAGCATCCCGCAGTCGTGCGAGCAGTGTCTCTCCTACATCTGGCTCATGGACAAGGCCCTGCTGTGCAGTGGTGAGTGCCCCTCCCCCACCCCTGATCACCCACCATGCCCCCGATCTCCCCACCCCCCTGAGCCTTCAGCAACGCCCCCACTCCCTACTGTGTCTTCTGATCTTCCACCAAACCTAACCCACCATGCCCCCAACTCCCCACTGCACTCTCTGATCCCTCCTACCCCCAGCCCTGATCCCCCACCATGTCCCCAGCTCCACATCATGCACTGGGGCCTTCACCCCAGCTAAGGGCAGATCTTTCCAGAATACTGCCCTACTCACTCAAATCCCGCACAGTCATCTTGGGGCAGGGCTGGGTTTTCAACTAACCCTGAGGCCCTCACCCAACTCTGCAGCCTCTGTTCTACACACATACCTGGGCAGGTCACCCTGTGTCCTACCTCCCGGCCTTTGTTCACACTGCTCCTGCAGCCTGAACTGCCGGCCCCTGCCCCATGTGTCAGGCAAGGCCAGTCAGTCCCCACAGGGACCTCAAGAGGCAGGTGCAGCCCATGATGACCCAACTGGCCCACAGTCAGGCAGCCAGGAGGTGGCCAAACTCAGATGGGAACTAGCAGCCCCCAGAGGCCCAGGCTGGGTCTAGCAGGCCTCTGGCCCATCTGTTTTCCTGCCAGGACCAGTCAGGGCTGACTTTTTTTTATCAGGCCAGAGTAACCTCCTCTCCCCTTGGTGGGCTGTGAGGAGCAGCCCGCCATGTCACATCCATCATAACTACCCAGGCAGTTGTCACTGTCCTGAGACATAGGGACAGGCAACCACTGGAACCTGGGGACCCTGATGTGCTGCCGGTGACCACCCTCTTCCCTTCTCAACCATGATTTCCTAGTGTGCAAGATGACCTGCCACAAGAAGTGTGTGCACAAGATTCAGACCTACTGCTCTTACACAAGTGGGAAGAAGGTGAGCCCACGGAGGCTAGGAACTTTCCAGAACCCCTGGGGGAGGCCGTTCTGAGAGACTTGGAAGAGAGTGTGCTGGGTGCAAAGCCAAAGCTGGGTGTCAGGCGAGAACAGGGAGCTGGCAGGAGGGACTGGTCCCGCAGCAGAGCATACCCCCATCCTGTCAGAGCTCCAAGAGGCCCCCCAGGGCAGGGGCCAGGCTTGTGTGTGCACCTCAGACCCTGGCCCTGCTCCTCCCTCCTCCAAGTGGAGGGAAGCCCCCCAACCCTGCACATCAGGGAGGTGGGGTTCTGAGTGCACAGGCTGCAGCATGAGCCAGATTTTGCTGCTCCAAGGGGGCTGTGGGTCTTCACGTAGGGACCCACTGCCAGTGGCCATCAAGCAACCTCCACAGTTTGGCACCCCTGGCAGCTGTGCCAGAGAGGGACAGAGGCCACAGAGGAGGCCTGGTGGGGTGACAGGAGGACAGCCAGCCCAGGCCTGACCCCTACCTGAATCCCCGTCATTGCAGATCGAGCCAGGCACTGAGCCGGGCCACTTTGGCGTCTGCGTGGATAGCCTGACCAGCGACAAAGTCTCGGTGCCCATCGTGCTGGAGAAGCTCCTAGAACACGTGGAGATGCATGGCTTGTACACTGAGGGCCTCTACCGCAAGTCAGGGGCCGCCAACCGCACGAGGGAGCTCCGGCAGGCGCTGCAGACGGGTGGGTGCTGTGGGACATAGGGGCTGTGAACGGGTAGGTGCAAAGGGCCAGCGGACACCGCGTAGGGCTCAAAGCTCAGCCCTCCTGCCTTCACTGTGCTCACTGGGCCCCCGCCCTCCCGACAGACCCCACAGCAGTCAAACTGGAGAACTTTCCCATCCACGCCATCACCGGAGTGCTCAAGCAGTGGCTGCGGGAGCTGCCCGAGCCCCTCATGACCTTTGCCCAGTACGGAGACTTCCTCCGTGCTGTCGGTGAGTCCCACAGCTGTGGCAAGGGTGGCGGGTGGCAGCGGTTGGGGATCAGAGCCTCATGCATTTGCTATGGCCAGTCGGGGAGGAGGGATCCTGGTCACAGCTGAGAAATTGAGCCCCGGGCTGGGGCCAGGACCCCTCTGTGGCCTTGCATTCTTGCCCCACACCATGGGAGGTTCCTCAGTGCCCTGAGGCCCGTCGAGGTGGGGCCTGCGGGGAGCTGACACCCAGGGCCCTCCTAGAGCTGCCAGAGAAACAGGAGCAGCTGGCCGCCATCTACGCTGTCCTGGAGCACCTGCCAGAGGCCAACCATAACTCCCTGGAACGGCTCATCTTCCACCTGGTCAAGCAAGTGCCTGCCCCGCTGCTGCCTACTCTCTGTGGGGGGCTGACGTCCCAGAGGGAGCCCCGCCACCACATTCTCTAGGCTGGTGTTCTCTGGTGGCTCCACACCAGGGCATGAGTCCGTTTTGGGGGGGTTCCAGGAGGGGGCCCCAGCTTCTTTGTGGCACCTCTCCGTCCTGCAGAAGCAAGCATTTCTTACCTCCCGGCTACAGTAACCCCTGGGCTCTGGACTCTGGTCTTGGGGCTCCCTTTTCACCCCCTGACTGACACCTGCTGCACAGGGTGGCCCTGCTCGAGGATGTGAACCGCATGTCACCCAGCGCACTAGCCATCATCTTCGCACCCTGCCTCCTGCGCTGCCCCGACAACTCGGACCCCCTGACCAGCATGAAGGACGTCCTCAAGATCACCACGTGAGTACCAGGACCAGTGGGCCCCCCGTCCCCACCATGTGCTCAGGGCAGCCCCTCCAGGGACCCCACAACTAAAGAGGAGAGCCTGCTCCAGAATCCTAGGACGGCTTAGCCTCAGTAGTGTGTCAGTGTGCCTGCAGAGAAAAGTCTGGAAGAACAAACCAGATCACAACGGCCCGAGCAGGTGTCCTGAGCACTGGGGTCCTAAGTAGACTTAATTTGGTCTCTCTACTTTTCTTTTCTAATGAGCATCGTGACTTTTGTACTAAAACCGAACTTCTAGCAAAGTCCAGATGTGTGACTGCTGCCAAGAGCGGCAAGCGGGAGGACTCTTCTGACAGATGAGGGACAAGAGGCAGCCCAGCCTCATGGCCGCATCGTGGGGCACACACACCCAGACCCAGGTGGAGACATGTCAGCGTCTCTCCTCAGGCAGCAAGAATGTTACTTCCCAGTTCTTTTGAGGGTGAGGAGCAGACAGTGAAGCCAGCAGCCAACAGAAGCAATTGTCTCAAGGTGCCTTCTTCCCCGTAAATGATCTTCAAAAGTTCTTCAAAAGAACTGAGGAGGAGGTCATCAGACATCAGTCACTAAGGCGGCATTGTTCAGGCTGCGATTTATAAAAATAAAACGTGTCGCCCTAGGCGGTTTCACGAGGGAAACACGGGAAGGCCTGAGAGCTATGCCTGACAACAGGACAGCATGCCATGTACCCCAGACCATGCCCTTCGAGATTCACAAACAGCAGCTGTCAGGCAGAAAGGAGAGGAGCCCAGTGTGGCCCCCACACTACCTGGGAAGCGAGGTGGTGGGGACAGATTTGCTTCCAGCCTCTTCCAGTACTTCTTTGGTCCTTTTTTTCTTATGTGGTCATATGAAACCTGAACCAGACTGCCTCTCCATGCAGGCTGAGTCCGTCCTGTCCCACTACACCCTCCCCACCCCGGACTGACCATTCCTGGTTGAGTCCCACTCCTGGCTGGGTCCTCCTGGGTACTGACCACTCCAGGCTGAGTCTTCCCCAGTACTGACTACTCAGGCTGGCCCTGCCCACTGAGCAGGTGTCCTGGGTCCCAGCACACTTCCAGAGCCCTTGGGGCCAGCTGCCTGCAGCCCCTGGGACAAATCTCCCAGCCTCCCAGCACCAAGCCCCACCCTGCAGGGCTCCTGAGGGGTCAGTTCACTGTGATCCATGGTACTGTGCTTCCTCCTTCAAACAAGGAGGCTTGTCATTAAGAGCGGGACTCAGGCGCAGAGAGGCGGAGTGAACTGCACGAGGTCACACAGTGAGTGAGCTGGGGCTGCAGTGGGAGCCGCAGCCTTGTCCATAGCCCTGCCTGGTCTCTGGGTCTCTTGGCTCAGCCATCAAGCCCCAGTCTTTGGCCAGCACCTCCCTAGCGCCAGGCCCCCCACGCGGGCCCTCCCCGGGGCAGTAGCTGAGTCACCTTCTCCACAGGTGCGTAGAGATGCTGATCAAAGAACAGATGAGAAAGTACAAAGTGAAGATGGAGGAGATCAACCAGCTGGAGGCTGCTGAGAGCATCGCCTTCCGAAGGCTCTCTCTCCTGCAACAAAACGCTGTGAGCAACGCAGGGCGGGGCCTCGGTGGGAGTGGCCAGTGGGTGGGGCTTGGGTGTTGGGCGTGGTCTCACTTCTCCGCCCAGTACATACTCTCAGCACACCCTTGGCCACAGGCAGCCTGACCTGGGGCCGATTCCTCACCTTGGGCAAATGACCACCGTCCTAGTTCGCCTGAGGCCAGCTGCCCCTCTCAGGAGTGGGGGGTCTGTCACCCACTTGGTGGTGGTCCTGGCCATCCTCCAGCCACGTCCCTTACTGACTTGGGTCCCGCCCACAAGGAAATGTTCCCACAGCAAAAGAGACCTCACACTTGGGGGTGGAGGCATAAGGAGCCAGTCCTGGGCTCCTGTAGGAGGACCCTGTCCTTGTTCCTGCAATCAGATGTGGCTCTGTGCCCATGACTAGTGCCTATGTCCTGGTCATGGCCCTGTGGTCACCCTCTCTTCATCTCTCCCCCAGCCATGGCCTCTCAAACTGGGGTTTTCGTCTCCCTATGAGGGGGTCCTGGTATGTACAAGTATGGGGGTCCTCCTCACATGTCTCCCAGTGCAGTGCATGCTGAGGTTCCCCTCAGGCCCCCTAGGGTCCTTGTAGGATAGACCAAGCATGTCCTAACCTTCTGGAAGTGCATGCTGGGGGAGGCCCGTTGCCCGCTGACTGCCTGTGCTGAGAATGACTAATCAGCCAAGTGCCAGCCACCCGGTCCCTGCATGATCCCCGGAGAAGCCTCACTAAGCCCAGCTGTCCACGTCAGAACTAACCTCCCCAGAGCTGCTCCGACCACCCTCTCTCTTCCTGTGAGCACCAACCCACACCCACCAGAGGGGCTGGCCAGACCTGCCGCTTCTCTTTGCAGATCAAGAGCCCTAAGACCCGAGGGAGCAGCAGTGGTGGCCTGGAGGAGCTGGGGGTGCTGCCGGAGGAGGAAGTGGCTGGTGGTGATGAGGATCGGGAGAAGGAGATCCTCATCGAGCGGATCCAGTCCATCAAGGAGGAGAAGCAAGTGTCTCTCTGACCCCTTGCCACCCTTGGCCGCCATGTCCGGCCCTTCCACTACTGGGCATCTGGCTATTAGGAGGCTGACAGACTAGACTCAGTCCCATGGTCCAGTGCCCACCTCATGGGGTGCTGCTGTCCTAAAACACAGCCTAGGGCTCTGTTTAAAACCCCTGCTTGACCACAGGGAACCATGGTGGCCCATAGGAAGAGAAGGGCAATGGAGAGGTGATGCCTGAACTTTGTCTTAAAGTTGGCCTTACATAGGGCGACCCCCTACTTTGTTGTCTGGTCAAGATGGAAGTATGAAGGAAGATGCTGTTAAAAAATTATGCCAGGAGAACAGGCGTAATTCGGGCCACCTGGGCATCCAAGTCTTAGGAATAGAGTAGGGTATTTCAGGCAGAGGGAGTGACATGTGCCAAGGTCGTGAGGCAAGAGCTCTTCCCTAGCTCAGTACTAGGCCAGATGCCTGGCTTTCCTCAGCAGCCTGACACCTTCCTCACATGAGCTGAGGGCATTTGGGGCCCAGTGTGCTTTTGGGTTCAGGTTTGGGGTTCCATCCAGGACCAGGATGATCTACTCTGTCCCCTACTGGCCTGGCACTTTTCCATGGGGTGATCATTCATTATGGGAACAGCCTTGGATATTGTGACCCCCCCCCCATCCCCAGGGAGGACATCACATACCGGCTGCCGGAGCTGGACCCTCGGGGGTCCGATGAGGAGAATCTGGACTCAGAGACATCAGCCAGCACCGAAAGCCTGTTGGAAGATCGGGCCGGGCGGGGGGCCTCGGAAGGTCAGTATTAAGGTAGCGTCAGCTTTTTTCCTTCCCGTATCCACACCCAGAAGGCCCCAGGGCGAGGGTCCATTTGCTGGCCCTGAAGCTGCAGTAACCCTGCCATCTGTCTCTCAAAAGGGCCCCCCGCGCCTGCTCTCCCCTGCCCTGGCGCGCCCACCCCGAGCCCCCTCCCTGAGGCAGCCGCCCCTCCTCGACGAAGGCCGTCGTCCTTCTTGACGGTCAGAGTGAAGACCCCCCGGCGGACCCCCATCATGCCCACGACCAACATCAAGCTCCCGCCCGGCCTGCCCTCCTATCTCCCTGGCCGGGTGCCGGGTACCCAGGAAGCTGCTGCCCTGGTGAGGCGCCGAGAGCCGCCTGCCCGCCGCCCGGACCAGGTACACTCTGTGTATATCACACCCAGTGCTCACCTGCCTGCTCAGGGCACTCAGGAGCCTCTGGACAAGGATGACCGGCCACCTGGGGCCAAGCGGAGGTACTCAGACCCCCCGACCTACTGCCTGCCCCCAGCCTCGGGCCAAGCCAATGGCTGAGGGCCCACAGCTGCTGGAGTTCACGTGTCCAAGGATGGCCCGGTGCCAGAGCTAGGCACTAGCGCTCCAGAGTCAGCATTCAGTGGTCTGAGAAGGATCCGGAATGAAAAGCTCCAAGAGCGATGCAAGGTGGGCACTGGCTCCAAGTGAGTCCAGGCAGGGAAAGGCTGGCGGAAGCCCAGCCACCCTTGCTGAGCCCCCATGTCTCACAGAGGCGCCCGCCCAGAGCACTGAATCATGGCGGGCAGCCTGGCATCTCCCAACTCCCCTTTTGTATGTTTTTACGGTAACTGTTTCTTTGTGCGTTGTTTACATAACGTTAAACTGTAACAGCCTTAACAGAAGACCAAATTGTTTTTTTATATGTGTATGTACAAACTTTTTATTAATGCCCTGCACCTCCCTTATAACCTGGACATGAGTCTTCAGAGCAAAGCCCACACAGCCATCAAGCTTCAAAAGCTCAGACCCACGCTGAGGGATAGCTTGGAGGGCAGTCTGAGGGCCAGGACTCTGCATGAATTGTTTGGACACTTGGCGCACCTGACTACCCCAAGTCTGTCTTGGACTCGTACTCTGGTCCAGCCAGTGGCCACCTGGCCAATGTGCATTCAAGGGAGCAGTGGAGCCTTCCGTGATGATGACTATTGGCTGGAGCCAGGACCTGAGGTGGTAGGCAGCCTCCGTCCAGGCACCATAGACCTCACATCCCAGGGAGACTCGACTCGAATGTGGCCATCACTCCTCTGTCTACTGTGACCTGGACCCAGGAAGCCAGAGGAGGCCGCCCTTGGCACTGTCCGCCCAGTGTGGCAGAACAGGAGCCCAAAATTCAGGACCACTCATGGGTGGGGAGGGCAAGGCCTGGGGTTGTACGTCCCTACAAGTCAACAGTGACAGCTTAGGCCTCTGGCATCTCTGGAGTGGGGCTCCCCTCTGAGGCTCAGCCCACTCTCCAGACACCTGAACACATGGCCACAGGTCTGGGACCAGAGGCACCCAGAGGCCACATGAAATAAAGAAAAAGTGCCTGAGAGGTGTCTGCCTGCAGTTGCTACTCAGATCAGCTCTGGGTGGGAATAGCGGGTGGGGGTCAGCCCCATCATGGCCTCAGCCAAGTGGGGTGCAGGCAGGGGATTGGGTTCCTTGCTTAGGAGGACCTCCCTTGTTCCTCCAGCAGACTTTGCTGTTGGAATTTCATACATACTCTTCACACAAGGGGGGTGGGCTTTGCTATAAGGGCTTGTTTATTGATCCTGGGAGCTGCCTCCTGTCACACCTAGCCTCTCCCCAGCAGGGGCTTAAATGTCAGCTGATGAAGCCATCTGCCGGGAAGAGGGGTGGGTAGTCAGTTCCTGGTGGACCTACTAGAATCAGAACCACTACTACCACCACCCCCAGCAGAGGAGCTCCCAGGTTGTAGTCAAATGGACAATTGTGGGAACTGGCTGGCACGTGGGGCCCTTGGGGGCAGGAGAGTTGGAGACTCCAAAAAAACCTGAGTTTAGATGGTACATGCTGAGGAGTTGGCAGGCTTGTCCAAGGCCACACAGCTGGGATGGGGCAGGGCTGGGATTCAGACCCTGCCCCATCTCGTCTGCCTCTAGAGTCCCCTTTATCAATACTCTTGAGTTTAGTCTCCTCCGTGGTACTTTACGGGTACCAGGCCCAGCAGTGTGATCCTGACACACAGATGGGAAGATGGTTGAGGGCTGCATGCTAGACTTCAGTCTCTGTGAAATCCCTGTCCTCACCCTGTCTACTCCAGGACGGGGGGCTCGTACAAGGGGCCTTGGCTTCCTGGGGACCCACGTGGGGTTCTGTCCACAGGGTCCTGGGCCTTAGGGGTGACCCGGCCCCACCTCTTGCTCCCAGGGCTAGCCCGTGTCACTGCCACACTGCCTGTTTCCCAAGGGAGGAAACAGACCCAGAAAATGTTAAACTCGCCTAAGTCCACAGTGGGAGGTGGAGTCAGTCAAGGCTGGGAGCGGAAATCATAGTTGCAAAAGTTTGCAGTGGCTTCTAAGTCTTACATTCCGAAGTCCCAAATCAGGGCCTCTCCTCCGGGAGAATCCAGGGAAGAGTGCCTGGATACGTAAGAGTTCAGTGTGGGAAGAACCCAGGCTGGGCCGGGGAGAATTTTGAGCAGGGGGAAAGTAACAAGCATGTCCTGCGTTGCACGTGGGCCTGACACCGAAGGACTCGGTCTTTTCAATCCGGAAGATGTTCGTGAGGATGAGCGAGCGACTTGGCCCTGAGTAAATAAGGACGGAATGGCGCCTCTCGCTGAAACAAGACATTACTTCCGCCGCCCCAAACAAGGATGGAACAGCAAACGAGCAGTGCACTTCCGCCCGGAAGGAGGCCGACAGAAAGCACTTCCGCCATCTCTTAAGATGGCGCCGGCGGAAGGGGCGGAGAACCGCTGGGTGGTGATGGCAGCGTCGCGGTTGGAGCTGAACCTGGTGCGGCTACTGTGTCGGTGCGAGGCGATGGCAGCGGAGAAGCGGGACCCGGACGAGTGGCGTCTGGAAAAGGTGAGGGAAGCCCGCCCTTCCGCGTAGAGCCGGCATCCCGGACGGCGATGCCCGAATCTACCGGCCATCAGGCCTTACTCCCCACCGCTTACCACCATGGCCACGCCCCTTCCGGTTAGCTCAGCCACGGCCGCCTGACGCTCCCCCGCCTCCTCCTTGGGGCTCAGCTGGTCCTGCCTCCTTGACACTTGACTCCTCCCATTTCCAGCCCTGTCCTAGTCATGGCCCCGCCCCTTGTTGGCTCTGACCTATCTGAGTGGGACCGGCGTGGGAATGGTGTGGACTAGGGTAACACCCCACTTTTCATCCCCAGTACGTGGGAGCCCTCGAGGACATGTTGCAGGCCCTGAAAGCCCAGGCGAGGTGAGTGCCAGCGGCCACACGTGGTTCAAATCGGGGGCAGAGAAGTAGAGTCCAGGCAGCCAGCATCCCTCGGGGGATCCCTGGTCTCCGTTCCCTGCTAAGACCCTTCCCTGAACTGGGGACAGTGGGCAGATTTTCCTTTTCCTCTTCTCCCCTTCCAGCAAACCGGCCTCAGAGGTGATCAATGAATATTCTCGCAAGGTAGATTTTCTGAAGGGGATGCTGCAGGCAGAGAAGCTGGTAAGCAGGGGCACCTCTGCCTCCTCAGCCTTCATCAGGCTCACCTGGGATCTGACCCTCAGGTGACCCCTCTACCCTCTTTTGCAGACCTCCTCCTCAGAGAAGGCACTAGCCAACCAGTTCCTGGCCCCTGGCCGTGTGCCAACCACAGCCAAGGAGCGGGTGCCTGCCACAAAGACATTGCATCTACAGTCACGGGCACGGTACACCAATGAGATGCGGAGTGAGCTGCTAGGCACGGTAGGGCTCCCTCCCTGGCCCCTGGGATGCTTCCATCAGGGACAGGCACTCAGTGCCTGGAGTGGTTAGAACAACAAATTCTGTCAGGTGCAGGGATCCTATGGGGCCCAACAGCCTTTGCCGTGGACAATCTTACAAGGCTTCCCAACAGAGAGGACTTGTGGCCAAGGCTTTGCTAGATAAATAAGAGCTTGGTATGGGACAAAAATGTCACATCTCCAGTGAAGCTCCAGAGCTGACCTAGAGCAAAGTTTGGCTCCTGCCTTATCACATGTAGATTTCCATTGGTAAAAACAGGATGACAAATACCTTTATCAGCACTTTATGTGGCTCAGCTAAACCCTTCAAAATGTGAGCTGTTGTTAGCAGTTTATAGATGAGGAAACTGAGGCCCAGGGCCCTGACTGAGGATGGGGTGTTTCTGAGAGCAGAAAGGACAGGTCTGGGGGCATGGCAAGGTAGGTGACTTCGTGCTTCTCCCTTTTTTCCCACAGGACTTTACTGGAGGTGAGTCAGCCTGAGCCGAACAGGACTCCAGGCCCAGTACAGACATGTGTCCTTTTAGCCCCACCTCCCTCATGCCTAACCTAACTCCCCCAGGGTCTTCCACAGCCCAAGGAAGAGTGTCCCAGGGGCATTACTGAGTTAGGCCTGGGCGGGGTGGGGGTTGTGCCAGGACAGAGGAGGGTTCCCCCAGAGGAAACCAAGCTGGACACTCCCAGCCCAAGGGGCCAAGTCTGCCTAGAGGGAAGGACCTGGGGCCTAGGGTTGCCCAGATGAGGAACATTTCCTAGAAAAGAATGCTTTGAAGTATGATCAGGAGCCCACCGGGCAGCAGACAAGGTGGGAAACTGCATTCTGAGTAACAGACACATCACAGGCAATAGTCAGGAAGCTGGAGAACAGCAAACCAACTCTCTCCTTCTTCCTGCTTGGCCTGTTTTGCTTCCAGAGCCTGAACTGGATGTGAGGAAGAGAACGTGAGTATCTTCAGGCTGGGGCAGCATTAGAGAGCAGGGGGCTAGACAAATCTTGGGCCACTGAGGTGCCATCACAAGCATCTAAACCACCAATCAAAAGCCATTTCTGAGGATGTGCTTCCCAGAAGCCAAAGCAAAAAAGGGGAAATAGCCCCAAACAGGGCAGCGGCGGGAACCATAACCTCTGGTTTCCTGGAGAACATGTCAGTCTCTTCCTTCCTCCTCCCCATCTCATACCCCGCTGTCCACCCATCTGTGGGGTCAGTGGGGTGGCAGGGCCCAGGCCAGGGGATGAGAAGCAGTCAGCAGCCGAGCTAGACCTCGTCCTGCAGCGACACCAGAACCTCCAGGAGAAGCTGGCGGAGGAGATGCTAGGCCTGGCCCGGAGCCTCAAGACCAACACACTGGCTGCCCAGAGTGTCATCAAGAAGGACAACCAGGTATGAGGACTATGGGAACACTAAAGCCTCTGCCCTGGGGCATCAGAGAAGGCTTCCCAGCAGAAGGGCATTATGGCTGGGGCTTAGCAAGATGAGTAGGAGTCTGGTAGAAGGCAAAAATGGCATTCCCAGCAAGGGCCAAGAGGTATAGATTTGCCCCCAGGGCAGTAGGGAGAAGCCACACTTGGACCTGGTCCTATTGACACTCTCCCCACCTCACCCATAGACCCTGTCACACTCACTCAAGATGGCTGACCAGAACCTGGAGAAGCTGAAGACAGAATCTGAGAGGTTGGAGCAACATACACAGAAGTCAGTCAACTGGCTGCTCTGGGCCATGCTTATTATTGTCTGCTTCATCTTCATCAGCATGATCCTCTTCATCCGTATCATGCCCAAACTCAAATAAAGACCTGGCCTGATCCATCTCACCTGTCCCCTTTCTGCCCTCCACCCTATCTGGGGGTACCCTTTGGAGTGGGCAACAAGATGGAAAGGCCCTTGGAGCCCCTGGAGAGCCACAGAGAGTACATGAGCAAGGGAGGAAGGAGATCAGCCTGAGGAGGCAGAGAGTGGGCAGGGGTAGGGGCAGTAAGTCAGCAAACCTGTCTCCCATTCCCCCGATACCCACCCCACACTGGACAAGACAGGGCTCCTAGAGGCCACAGGAGCTCCTAAAGTGATACAGTCACAGCCAAACACATTACTATGGAGCCAGGGTAAGGCCTGGAGGGTGGAGGAGGAGGAGGGCCAGGCCTGGAGGTCAGCCTGGAGGAAGGGTGTCACTGGTGGGCCTTTCTTGAGACTGAAGGTGATAATTCAGGGACAGGACTTAGTCTAGCCACCACCACAGCCTAAGACCTCAGGACATTGTAGATACTTCATACAGTCATTCAGCAAACACATGAGAATCATGGAGACCCTTCCCTGCCCACATCATAGTCTGATCATTTCAGACAAGAACTGGGTTGGCATTGGAGTTGGGACCCTGGAAGTGATCATGGAGTAGGAGTCCAAGGGGATTGTAGGTCCTAAGTTCTGCTTGCCCCCACTCCCAGAACTGTGGGACATGCATAGAGTTGCCCATGTGGACTGCACCCCCCCCATCAGTATGGGTGTGAAACACTAGGAAGAGCTTTTAAAAACTCCAGTGGCAGCTTTTAAAACCTTTTGAAAGTCTAGTGGCAACTTTTTAAATATAGATCATAAGGAGGCTCATCATGCTTGTGACTCAGGGATGGCTGAATATTAGGAAGCCTTTTAATAGCCACATTAATGCAGCAGGAAACAAAATCATAGCGTTAAATGGTACCTTGTACTGTTCACAGCATCAGTTAATCATAGCCTCTTAATTAGAAATAAGTAATTGATGGATATTTTCCTCATTTAACTGAAAAAAATCCCAAACCAAAGGCAATATTGAGTTTAATAGGCAAATAATAGAAGCTCTACCATCAAAGTGAAGAAAGTGAGGTGGGGTGGATGCCCATAGTACAGCCACCTCCTCCAATAATTTAATATTGTCTGGAGGTGCTAGTCAACACAACTAGACAAGAAAAAGAAATGAGACTGAAAGGTGAGAAAAAAGGTTAAATTACTTTTAGACGATACAACTGTCTGTATAAAAGACCCAAGGAATGTAACTAAAAAGCTATTTCAATTAGAGAATTTAGTAAACCAGCAAGGGACTTAATATTAGTTTCCTATGTGCCAAAAACAAAAAGCTGCAAAATATATTAGAAGATCCCATTTATGACAGTAACATAAAACATAACTGCCTGGTTAAACTAACATATGGAAAGCTCCTAAAAATAAACAGGAAAAAAATATTTGCAGGAAATAAACAGGAAAAGAAATACAAATGGTTTCTGAATGTTTTCACTTACCAGATTAGGCAAGATTTAAAACTTTGAAAATACACTTGCAAGAAACGATACATTGAGGTTGCAAAGGTTGTGGGGAAACCAGCTAATTAGAGCATCAGTGGCACAATCTCACTGAAGGACAACCTGACAGAATCTTTTCCAAATTAAAATACACAGATCCCTTTGCCCGGGCAATTCTGGGCAATTACACTTCTAGGGATTTATCCTACCATAATCCTCCACAATTGGGCAATGCGCACTTGAATATTCTTTCTACAGTATTGTCTATAGTGAGGAAACTTTGTCACTGAAGTAGAATATCTCCGGAAGGAGACACAATTAAGCTGTCTCTCGGGGACAAGGGTGAGTGAGAAATTCACTTTGCCCTGAAACTCTTTTCTATTTGAATTTTCTAAACATGCCTCCAGTGATTAAAGAAATATTTCAAAAATATAACCGACGAGAAAATGGATACGTGCAAGTTCTCCAAAACCACTAGTTTTTCAGACAAACTGAGGGTCAGAGAGGGTAAGTCAGCGGCCCCAAATACAGACCAGACAGCGGTCTCTGCTGGACTCTGCGCTTCAAGGGTGTGGGTCCACTTCCGGTTCGCCAGGCCCCGCCCCCTCACCGTCAACCCCGCCCCATACCGCCAGACCCCGCCCGCGCCCTGCGGAGCGACCCAGCCAGTAGATTCCAGCCTGTAGTTAATGCACAACAGGGGCTCAAGCGCCTCTTCGGCAGCGGACCCAGACTCGGAGCCCCGGACGCTGGGACAGGTGACGCCGGGCTGGAGTGGTTCGTACGGCCCGCTGCCAGGCCGGAGATCCTGGGGGGTCTTCTCGGGGGCAGTGTCTGTCAGCCACACACCCCTGCGGGACAGGTTGTGGCAGCGCTGGGGTTAATATGAGCCAATCCTGGACTGCGCGGTGACGTAATGGGTTATTTGCATAGCGCTCTTCCGGGTTACGCACTCGGCGGCACGGTCTGGGGTTCTTTGAAGGCCAATGGCGTACGTCTAGGCAAATAAGGGGCGGAGTTGGAAAACGCTTCCGCGGGTGGAGAGCGGGCCGCTCCGGGAGCCGCTTCCCCGCGTCTTCCTACTATACCCGCCTCCATGAGCGTCCTCCTCCCGTGTCCATAGGCCGCCCGTCGACCACCCCCGCCACGCGCGGGCCACGACTCCCCCCGCAGGACACGCCCACCTGCCCGGGGACCGGCCCGACGCGGCC